TCCTCCCGACACCTCCTCCCTCATCCTCCCCCTGCAGAGGCGGAGGAGGCAGCGGCGGGGCAGGCAGCGGAAGCAGGGGGCGAAGTCGAATCGTCTCGCTCATGGCGCCCCGCAGCACCCGCCAGACTGCAAGCAATCCCCCTCCTTCGAGGCTGGCGGATCGAGGATCGAGGGTTGAGGTCTCTGGCAGTTTGGGGGTTCAGGCCTCGGGAGACTTCCACTGGCGCCCCAAGGGGGGGGAGAGCGGGGAGGGAGTTTGAAGGGGAGAACGAGAAGGAGGGGGGAGGGAGGGAGGGAATGGAGGGGGAGAGGGGACGGAGAAGGGAGAGAGGGAGGGCGCAACAGTTCGGACGAGTCTGTCTGCCCTGGCCCCGCAGGTTGTACATGCCGCGCGGGCCAACTCACAATGCGGAAAGTGCCGCGATACGATAAGGGGTCGAGAAATACCCCACTCTTGGCACGGTCGCCAAAAGACCACGGCTGGAAAGCAAGGCGGGCATGTGGCGATCAGGGAGTGGCGCACCCCGTCTGCACACTCGAGCAGAAGGCGCCGGCTACAAGCGAGCGTTGCCGTGTGCGCCTCGGTACCTCAGTGAACCAAGGCGCCGCCTTGGGGCATCCTCCTCACCGGCCCAGTGCTGGGGCTAATGAACAGTTCCCAGCAGCTCGCGCAACGCACTCAGGAATATGGAAAGGCTAGCACTAGCGTGCTATCGGTGAGCATCGAGGCGCGCCTGGAGGCTTGCCTGGGAGAGGCGCCCAAGCGAGCAGGTGATCGGAAGGCCCGGCGAAGGTCGTTCCTAGCGGACTGTGCTCTTCTTGGAATACGCAGCGGCTGCGCAGTCTGGACTGGCGCCCACCTGCCCGGACGACGCAACGGCGCGGGCGCACGAGGTCGGCGGGCAAGGCTCATCCGCAGCGGCGCCCCTGGTGCCGAGGGCAGTCTCGCGATCGAGGTCAGCCGGTTGACTCGCAACCGCGGGGCGTTGCGTGGAAGCACTTCCCCGACCGGTGACCTGCACTGGAGTCGCACGGGCGCCTACACCCTGGTGGGCGGCGCCGGGGCGGCGGGCCCCCGCACCCCGGTGGAGCGGGGCAGCGGCTGCGCTGCTCCTAGCCACGGTGCTGCTCCCAGACACGCTGCTAAAAGACGCGATCCCCCCGCTCCTCGCCTGCTCGTGCGGCAACTCGCCCCGCCTCCCTGGGGAGCTCTGGCCTTGACTCGTGCTATCCCGCCCGGCATTCGTCCGCGGCGCTGCAAGTGCCTGCATCGCCGCGGACAGCAGACAAGACGATGTCAATCTAAAACTATCTCCACTCTCAAGAGGTCCCCAGAGGCAGTCGACCACATCTTTCGCATAGACTTCGCGCCGAGGGTTGTCCTCTGTGGCTCCTAGTGGACCGAGACGAACCCCCCTGGAGGGTCATTCATCCTTGAACGCCCGCGCCTGCTCGAGGCGGTTCAAGCCTGTGGCACGCCAAGGGAGAGGGCATGGGTTCTTCCTCCGCACGCGGCAGCCGCCACGCCAGCTACCAGCGGGGGGGGCTCTCGCTACTCCTCCAGGTCCCCGTTCCTGTACCTCTCCAGGCGCTCTATCTTGCCCGTGTCGACGTACTCCTGGATCTTGGTCGCCGACTGCTTCCCGATCCCAGGCAGCGCAGCGGCCTGAGGCCCGCCGGTGATCTCCTCGTCGTGAGCGAGGAGGGCCGCGGCGACCTTCTTATAGGCCACTCCCTTGAACTTCTCCTGAAACGGCGCCAACTGAGCGACGATCAAAAACGGGTCTTACGCGAGATGGCATAGCGACCTTACGCGGCGCCTTACGCGGGCCGCCAGCGCGGCACGCTACAGTGGAGACGAGGGCGCTCACGCGCGACCTTACGCGGGCAGCTTGCGCGCCAATGTCGGCGCAGACGACCCCGTTTTTTTTTCCATCGCCCTACTGTACACCTGCACTTACCTCGGCCAGGCGCATCCTGCGCCGAAGATCGGGGTATACTCAGCCTCCTAGCTTCTGGCCAGGAGAAGCCTGAGCTGCGGCGCTGCGAACAAAAACTGAAGCACTGCGGAAAGAATCACGACTCGGAAGCCCTGGACTCCATCCTTCTGCGCAATTCTGAAAGCCCGATCGACCTGTGAGGGCCCTAGGTAGGCCGACAAAATCTGCACATGCCCACTGCACCCTGGCCAGGCCCATCCTGAACCCAGCAGCGGTGTATACGCCACCCACCTGGCTTGGCCAGAAGGGCGTATACACAGCTCATGGGTTCAGGATGGGCCTGGCCAGGGTGCAGTGGGTACTTCATCATACCCAGCAGGGCCCGAAACCGGGCAAAAACGCCGGGTGTGGAAAACCTGCCACAAGCAGACAAGGCGTAGACATCAACTGTGGGCCCAGCATCGGCCTGGCCAGAAGATCGCTGCAGGTTTACAGTTGGCGCCCTGCGACTCCTCCTCCTCCTCCTCCTCCTCCTCCTCCTCCTCCTCTGTTCCTCCTCCCCATCCTCGTCCTCCCATCCTCCTCCGATCCCCTCCTCCTCCTCCTCCTCCTCCTCCTCCTCCTTCCTCCTCCTCCGCCTCCTCCTCATCATCATCACATCATCATAATCATAAGCATCAGCATAAGCATCAGCATCAGCATCATCATCAGCATCATCAGCCTCATCATCATCAGAATCATCATCAGCAGCAGCACCATCATCATTATCATCATCGTCATCCTCATCATCATCATCAGCATCATCATCATCATCATCATCATCGTCATCATGACCATCACCATCACCATCATCATCACCATCATCATCATCGTCATCAGCAGCAGCATCGTCATCATCATCATCATCATCATCGTCATCCTCATCATGATAAACAACAGATTAGCACTCACACCATCATCATCACCAGAATCAGCAGCAGCAGCATCAGCAGAGTCAGCATCACCATCATCAGCAGCAGCATCAGCGTCATCATCATCATCATCATCATCATCATCATCATCATCAGCAGCAGCAGCAGCAGCAGCAGCAGCAGCATCACCATCCCATCACCATCAGCAGCAGCAGCATCATCATCAACATCGTCATCATCAGCATCATCATCATTATCATCATCATCATCATCATACTCGTCATCAGCATCAGCATCAGCACCGTCATCATTACCATCATAAGTATGATCAGCATTATCATCATCACGACCATCCCCACCATCATCATCAACATCATCATCATCAGCAGCAGCATCATCAGCATCATCGCTGGCGCCCACCGACTTCTCCTTCCGCTTGAACTCGAACCCAGCGAGCTCGGAGAACAGCGCCGCCAGGGCGGCGTTGGGGCCGTCGGCCGCCGGCGCTGGTGCCGCCTTCGCGGCCTTCGCCTTCCTCGGCGCCTCGTCCTGCGCGGGCCCGGACCTCCGACGATGCCGTGACTCATCAGGAAACTCCCAAAACTTATGAGAAGGAGAAGGGTTCTGAGGAGGAGGAGGAGGTGGAGGAGGGTTACGAGGAGGAGGAGGGTCACAAGGAGGAGGAGAATGAGGAGGGGGAGGAAGAGGAGGGTCGGGAGGAGGGTCATGAGGAGGAGGACAAGAAGGAGGAGGAGGAGGAGGAGGAGCGCGGCGGCTTGAGACCCAACGTGCGTCGGATCTGCGTCGGACTTACGTCGGGTTCACGTCCGATTGCGCCGGGCTTAACGCCGGATTCACGTCGGATTTACGTCGGCACATCGTTGCGCGAACGGGGTCTCACATATCTGACGGGCCGGACGTGCGGACCAGATGGTGCAACTACTGCGGGCCGCGCGGGGCCTCCCTGGTCTTCCTCCCAGCGCGACCTCTCGACCGACCCGCTCCGGGGGCCAGTTTACAGTCCAGACCCGTCCTCAGACGAGCGCGTCCCACTGCTCGCAAAGTAACTACTCGCAAATGACCTGGATCCCCCGCGGGGGGCCCACGAAAAATTACGTCTGAGCAGACATGTGTTTTGGGGACGTTTGCGAGAAGGCACTTTGCAAGTAGTGGAACGCGCTCGGTGAGTCTTCTGATGCTGAAATCCAGACGTCACATTTTTTTCACACTGGGAGTTTTGGCCCCACGTCGGGCCCCAGGACAATTACAGGTCGACCTGGCTCGGAAAGTGTCACAACGAGATGGGGCCTGGGGCTCCGGTCGTGATCTCTCACGACGGCACAATTTTGCGCAATTTCTCACGACGTGCCCGAAAACGGCCCCAGGAGGCCGAGAACAACTCAGAGAAGACTCCTCCTTGACTGTTTCAAGGCGTCGGGCGTCCTGGAGAGGCCCCTTCAAAATCGACCCCCGACTCATCCTGGGGGGCGTTCTGATCAGAATTTCGAGGCCGGCCCAGCTGCGGCGACGAGGGCGGTCCCCAGGAGGCCCCCGAAAAAGCTCTGCCCCCCCAAGAAAAAATTAAAGGGGCCCAGGGACACACAAAATCATAGACACAACTCCCAGAATTCCCCATCTTCCCCATATGTTCTGGGTTTTCGTCTTCCCCCCCCCACACTTCTGAGATTCTCCCATTGACTCCTGGGATTCGGCGATGAATTGGGTCTGTGTGTGTTTTTCCCCCTCCTGAAGAACAGGGGGCGCACACGGCCCAGCTGCTGCAGTCTGCAACATCAGCAGGCCAACCTAAAACGAATGATTACTTCAGGAGGGACGTTGGGTGGAGGAGGAAGAGGAGGAGGAGGAGGAGGAGGTCGGAGGAGGAGGAGAAGTGACGAGGAACAGCGAGGAGGAGCGAGGAGGAACGAGGAGGAGAGAGAGGAGCAGCGAGGTTCAGGGCTTCTGCGAGCTACATGCAAAAGCTTAGCGTTCCGCGCCCCAAGAAACCCACATGAGGCGACGCCGCGGGAAAGACCACTACAGGCGTTAGACGTCAACCCGCCGGAACGTCCCAGGGCTCGCGAGTGTGGCGGCGGTTGTGCAGCTGGCAGCGCCCGGGAAGGTGCCGTTTGGATCCGAATAGGCCGTTACTCCGCTGAACCCCCAGGAGCTCACGAAAGTGGCGACGGTTGCGCAGTTGGCAGCAGCTGGCAGCAGTTGCAGCGCTCACGGAGGCGAGGCAGGAGGCAGGTTGGAGGTAGGAGACACGCGACAGCGAGAAGGGAAGGAGGCGGGAGGAGGCTGGAGGAATGATGAGCAAAAAGCGCTCCATTCGAAACGAGTACCTCACCATGAAATGTTTGAACAGCACGACAACAAGAAAACAAATCCTCGAGGGCTACACGCACGAGTGACCGTACTCCCAATTTTGTCATAAGAGGGATGTGATCACAACCCTCCAAGACGGGCAGACGAAGACCCCCCCAGACCAGCCATGAAAGGGCGGCCTTTTGCCCAGACCCCACCAGAACCCTCCAAGACTTGGCGGCGCGCAGAGGGGGGTAGGGGGAGGGGGGAAGGCTTCTTAGAAGGGGGCTGCTTAGAAGGCGCCAGCCTTGCATGTATAGAGAAGGCCCGCGCCTTCTAAGAAGCAGGGGTGCTTCTAAGAAGCCTTCCCCCCTCCCCCTAGTTACCCCCCTCTGCGCGTGGCCGAAAGACAGCTTTAATCAGCCCACCACCACCCCAAGGTGACCCCCTCCCTTCTATTACGAAATTTGGAGCAGGCATTCATGATCCCCGGTGCGCGGCTTGCCGATCCTTGCACGCGATGCGACGGCAGCGGCCTGCGTACGGAGGGCTGCCGCCCCCCTCCCCCCCTCCTCCCGCGCCCTTCGACGAAGCCGCGCACCAGAGGCCCCCTCCGGCGAAGGATCACACGTAACGTGCAGCGGACCCGAGCACAAGCTCGCGCGCGCGAGCGTGCGGGAGTTCGCTCGTTGCATGCGATGCGTCGGTCGCAGCCTACGCTCAGGAGGGGAAAAACCACATACGGGAAAATATGGGAAGTGGGGGGGGAGACAAAAACCCAGAAAATATGGGAAAATATGGGGAATCGTTTCATTTGTGTGTATTTATTTGTGTGTCCTTGGGTTGGGCCCCTTGATACGCGCCTGGGTCTGCACCCACCCCCACGCCCTGCGAAGGCCGTGCACCAGAGGTCCTTCCGGCGAAGGATCACTCCTGCCTGTAGCCGACCCGAGCACACGCTCGCGCGCGCGAGCGTGGAGGAGAGATCGATACAGGGGGGCCTATTCGCCGGCCAAGCCGAAGAACACTCGAGGGTGCCGCCACCAGGATGCACAAGAGCATACGACAAGCATGAAGAACACGAGTGTACCCTCCCCGATACGACCTCGATCTTATACCACGGTCCGACCGTAGGTGGGATCAGCTCGGGGGGGGCGACATTGATTTCGAATCGGCGATGCACCGCCGAGGGTCGGCGGTGGGCCCGCACTGGCAAATCCGCTCAGCCCGGAGCGGGGTGGGCTATCAGGCCCACTATCAGCGATCAATGAGCGATTGGGGGTCGATGCACCCCTCGGGGAACTACTGACCGTCGATCCAGACCTGGGTCGGTCGGGCTTTGCAGGATCCTGAAAGACCCTGCAAGATCCTGAAGGATCCTGCACCCAAACCCGGGTCGGTGCGCCCCTGGCTTTGCAGGATCCTGCAAGATCCGGCGCTCTGACTGACCCACGTTTGCATTGACCCCCGTCTCATGAGCCCCGAACCCCCCCCTGAGCCACGACTCCGGCGAAGGATTACTCTCTTGATCGGTGGCAGGCTCTAGGTAGCAAAACCGCGCGCTCCTGGGCGGGGAGGGCCAGGCCCCGATCGGCGACGAATGGGCGATCAGGGGCCGATGCTGTCCTCCTCCTCCTCCTCCTCCTCCTCCTCCCTCCTCCTCCTCCTCCTCCTCCTCCTCCTCCTCCTCCTCCTCCTCCTCCTCCTCCTCCTCCTCCTCGAAGGGCTGACGACCCTCACGGCACAGTCCTGGGACGCGGCAGCCCGCTTCTTCTGCGGCCGGGCGGACGCGGCCCCGTCGGCGGCCGCGCCCCCGTCCGGCGCGGCGGCCTCGGCAGCCGGCGCGGCAGCGGGCGCCTCTGCCTTCCGCGCAAGCGCGCCAGGACGGCGGCGGCGGCGGCGGCGGCGGCGGCGGCGGCGGCGGCGGCGGCGGCGGCGGCGGCGGCGGCGGCGGCGGCGGCGGCGGCGGCGACGACGACGACGACGACGACGACGACGACGACGACGACGACGACGACGACGACGACGACGACGACGACGACGACGACGACGACTACGGCGGCGACGACGGCGGCGGCGGCGGCGGCGGCAACGGCGGCGGCGGCGGCGGGCGGCGGTGGTGACAACGGTGGCGGCGGCGGCGAGGATGGCGACGGCGGCGGCAACGGCGGTGGCGGCGGCCAGCGCGGCCGCCGCCTGCACGGCGGCGCCGCTGCCAGCGCCAGCGGGCGGTTCCGCCTGCCGCGCCCGCGCGCGGCGGGGTGGGGGCGTCAGGGCGCAGGCAGCGGGGCGGGGAGGTCAGCCAATCCCCTCTGTTGGAGGCCTGGAAATGGGCACCAACACCAACACAAGGGGGCTGCCTCCGGGGGAGGATGATCCTGGATTTCGGTGTTGGTGGTAATATGTCGGTCACCTTGGCAGCAGAAGACTACCACCATCACCGAGATCGTGATCTTCTTCCCTCGGTGGATACACGCCGCCGGTATTGGTTCGGTGCCAACCTCTAGGCCTGTCACTCTGGCGGGCCCAGGTCTGGGAAGCGAAGCGCTGCAGAGCGAACGCCAGAGTCGTGCGCGTTCCTCCGAAGAGCCCGCCCGTGCCGACATGGCGTGGAGGCCGTGGCCTGCACGCAGGCACGGCTCCCCCAACACATGGCTCCCAGGCTTGGGGGACACGTGTGGAGAGAAAGAAGACGGTGACCATGACCAAGACGAAGCGCGGAAACACTGGTGCCGATCTTGGTCCACCTTGGTCACCGTCAACTCGTTGATTATCCTCGCGATATCGGCGACAGCCAGCATGGACCATGACCGAGATCGGCGTCGACAAGATGCCGCGACATCTTGGTCATGGTCACTGTGCTTCTGCCCTCGACTGTGGAGCCGACTGCCCCTCCCCCCCTCGCGCTGGCGGATGCCCAGCGGCCAGCCTGGGCTCCCCACATGGCCCTGCTGTTGGTGCTGGTGGCCTTTGGTTCACCTGCGAGCTGCACACATCGCCCCCTCCCTGCGCTCACCAGCTTGGTGGGGGGCAAAGGCTCGGTCTGGCCGTTGGTGGGGCCGCCAAGCGCGACGACGGGAGAGGGGGACGACACAGCATGCCTAAAGCAAGGGACAAACGAGCGCTCTTCCTCCTCCCCCTCCTCCCCCCTGCCTCCTACTCACCCTGCCGCCTCATGTCTGCTCCCCTCCTCCTCCTCCTCCTCCTCCTCCTCCTCCTCCTCCTCCTCCTCCTCCCCCTCCTCCTCCTCATCCTCCTCCTCCTACAACTACGGTCGGAAACTGTTAATTTGCGTGTAGCGGCGGCGGCCCCTGCAACGCGGTATGCCCTGCACGTGGATAGCGCGTCGCTCCGCTACGCGAGGCTGGAGGCTCGGCAAGGCGCGGGACGTTGACGCTTGGGGGTTGGGACGTTGATGGCGTGTCGAGCCGAAGGGCGGTGGGCCAGAACTGGCGAAGCGACTCGCTAAGCACAAGCTCCTGACCGTGCTCTTCCACCTCCTCCTCCTCCTCCTCCTTCTCCTTCTCCTTCTCCTCCTCCTCCTCCTCTTCTTCTTCAGATTAGTATTAATATTCTTATTATTAGTATTATTATGATGTTTGTTGTCATTTCTGGATTCGTCTTAGTATGTACGATTATTAGTTTCACATTTTTCTTATCATTAGATTAGTCATATTATATGTAGCTCTTATTAGTTTGAATGTTCTTACTAGTAAGTATTAGTATTATGCTTAGTAATAGTGTTATTACGACTAGTATTAGTATCATTATTATTGTTAGTAGTAGTAGTATTAATACTCATAATATGAGTATGATTAGTGTAAGTCGTCTAATTCTTATTTTTCTATTAGTAGTATTTTGAATATTACTAGTATTAGTATTAGTATTAGTATTAGTATTAGTATTAGTATTAGTAATAGTATTAATATTAGTAGTAGTATTAGTATTAGTATTAGTGTTCGTATTAATATTAGTAATAGCACTAGTATTAGTATTAGTATTAGTATTAGTATTAGTATTAGCAGTAGTATTAGTATTAGTATTAGTATTAGTATTAGTATTAGTATTAGTATTAGTATTAGTAGTAGTATTAGTATTAGTATTAGTAGTAGTCGTAGTCGTAGTAGTAGTAATAGTAGTAGTAGTAGTAGTAGGAGTAGTAGTCGTAGTAGTAGTAGTAGTAGTAGTAGTAGTATTAGTAGTAGTAGTAGCAGTAGTAGTAGTAACATTAATAGTAGTAGTAGTAGTAGTAGTAGTAGTAGTAGTAGTAGTAGTAGTAGTAGTAGTAGTAGTAGTAGTAGTAGTAGTAGTAGTAGTAACATTCATAGTAGTAGTAGTAGTAGTAGTAGTAGTAGTAGTAGTAGTAGTAGTAGTAGTAGTAGTACGATTATTAATGTAATTTCTCTTCCTCCTCCTCCTCCTCCTCCTCCTCCTTCTCCTCGGTCCTCCTCCTCGGTCCTCCTCCTCCTCCTCCTCGGTCCTCCTCCTCCTCCTCGGTCCTCCTCCTCCTCTGCCCTCTCCTGCCGCAGCGCGACCCCGCGCGTTCCTGGCGCCGCCCCGCCGCGCGCCGTCGAGCGCGCGCGGAGCGGGCGCTGGGCGCGGGTGCCCCCCCGGGACCACCGGGGAGCCCCGCTTCCGTTCGAGAGGGAGGGGGGGGGGGGGGACCTCTGGGAGCGGTGACCTCTGGAGCGGCGCTCCCAGGATGTCGCGGCCAGGGTATAGACTGTATAGACTCTTGGCAGACGCTGTCATATCACCGCTGGCTCAGAGCGCGCGCCGCTCCGAGGCGCTGCCGCTCGTTCGAGCCATGAGTGCTCCGCGCAGCGCGCTTCGTGTTTCAATCCGTGCCAGTCGCGGGCTTGGCCCACTACGTGCGTTGTCTGTTGGGGCGCTCCATGACCGCACAGACGCGTGAGTGATCTCGCCATGCATCTTCGAGGGTGGCCTGTGTAGCGCTGCTCCAAGGGTCACCTGGCTTTGGTTTGATCGACCACCCAGGGACGACCGCGCTGGGGGGGGAGCGGCAGTCAGAGACTTCCAACGCCATCAGGAATCAGGAATCAGGGGGGAGAGAGCCGTTTTTCCATCCTACATCCCGAAGCACATGAGCGACAATCAAAAACAGGTCTTACGCGAGATGGCACAGCGACATTACGCCGCAGCTGGCGCGGGCCCCCAGCGCGGCACGCTACGCTGGAGACAGGGCGTTCACGCGCGACCTCACGCGGACAGCTTACGCGCCAACGTCGACGCAAACAGCCCCGTTTTTTTCTGTGTCGCTCACACGGGAGGAACGTGAGGGACAGGGATAATCAGGGGCCTGCATTCTCCTCCACCTCCACCTCTTCGCGTTCCTCCTCTCCCTGGCTGCCCTCCCCTCGAAGGGGGCGAGGGAGAGCTAGGCCCGTCGGCACGGTGACCCTCTGGAGGCACCTCCCTGCGGGGCGGGAGCCACCCCGGGGAGCAAGGCCCGCGCCGGCCGGTCCCGTGGGACGCGCGAAGACACGCTATAGCACCGCACGTCCTCGTCGGAGGCGCGCGCCCGACCCGAACATGCAGCACACCCATCCTGTAGTGCATGGTTTCCCGCGGCGTCGCCAAGGAGCGCCCGCCACGACACACACACACACACACACACACACACACACACACACTACACACACACACTACACACACACACTACACACACACTACACACACACACACACACTACACACACTACACGCACTACACACACACACACACACTGCAAGAGTTCTCGGTGCGCGCGTCGCCCCCGGGGGGGCGACGCACACATGGTTATTGGCATGGTGGGACGGCGCCGATGCCACACCGAGCTCGCAAGACCCCGAGCGCCCTCCCCATCCCAGCCGGGCCGACCCTGGGCCCAGGATGGGCTCAGCCAGGATCGGCGAGGTGGGATAGTGGACGTCCCCCGATCTGTTCTCCTTCTCCTTCCTGAACCCAGGATGTTGTCGCGCTGGCCGCCTCGCGCCTCGCTGGCCGGTGGGAACGGCCACAGCTCGCCAGAGCCCCCAGCACGTGAGAGGGCGAGTGCCCCGGCCTGGAATCGGGGGCGCGCAAGCATGGATTAGCGATCCGTGGATTCGGCGCGCGAGCGCCAAGTCCATGGATCGGGGGAAGTGCCCTCCCCAGAATGCGGCCAGTGCCGCCTCGCTCGGCGGCGGAAATCCGCGATTTCCCACGGAAACGGGACCCGTCACGAATCCACGCCCCCTTTGGGAAAAAAACACACTGTGGGAAGAAAACACACACACACACAACACACACACACCGTGTTTTTGTGTTTTTTGTGTGTGTGTGGTTTTCCACAGTGTGCTTCTTTTTCCCACGTTTGCGATCGCCTGAGAAGATCAGATCCCAGCGGCTCTGACGAAGAGGGTGGAGGCGGCGGTGGCAGCGCCGAGGCACGGCAGGGGCGCAGGCAGCGACACCCCCTGGAAGTCCCGAGGCTCCTCCTCCTCCTCCTCCTCCTCCTCCTCCTCCTCCTCCTCCTCCAACTCCAACTCCTCCTCATCCTCCTCCTCCTCCTCCTCCTCTTCCTCCTCCTCCTCCTCCTCCTCCTCCTCCTCCTCCTCCTCCTCCTCCTCCTCCTCCTCCTCCTCCTCCTCCTCCTCCTCCTCCTCCTCGGGAGCCGCAGGGTCTCTGGGACTCTTGGATACGAGCGGAGGCTGTATGAAGCGGGGGCGTCGTTGTTTGCAGCGGGCCGTATGCGAGGGCCGAGGCGGGCGCACCGGTCCCGAGCAAGAAGCAGGCACAGCCCTCGCACGGCCTCGCGCGGCCTGCGCCAGGCCCAGGACGTCTGGCGGCTCCGAGATGATTCGCCGCTTTTGAAAGGGCCCTGGGACACACAAATAAATGCACACGAATGACAGGATCCCCCATATTTTCCGATATTTTCTGGGTTTCTGTCTCCCCCCCCACTTCCCATACTTTCCCGTATCTTCTGGGGAATCGACGATTAATTGTGTCTGTGTTTTTGTTCCCTCCTGAGCTTTCTGCGCTCGGCAGACGGTTTCGGGCTCCCGGAAAAAGGGGTCGAGAGGTTCGGTGGGGGCCATGCATCGACAAGGTCGAGCCGCCAGATGTCTGGAGAGGAGAAAGGGGGGACTGTTCAAACGTCACATTCAACACGTGCCACATCGCCTAATATATGACGGCATCTCTCGGGTTTCAAACGCTCGAGAAGGCCTTGATTCACTACCAGACAAGACCAAAAGATGCACCACACGTGAGAGGCTGGAGGAGTCAGAACAGCTCAGTATGACGCCAATCCAGTGAAAGGCGTGCCTCAGACCTCGCGGCATGCCTCTGAGTGCGCGCGATCTGTGGACCAGGTTCCGCCGAGAGAGGCGCACCACTGCTTCTCCTCGTCGTGTATTCCTCCTCCTCCTCCTCCTCCTCCTCCCCCTCCTCCTCCTCCTCCTCTCCTCCTCCTCCTCCTCCTCCTCCTCCTCCTCCTCCTCCTCCTCCTCCCCCTCCCCCTCCCCCTCCGCCTCCCCCTCCTCCTCCTCCTCCTCCTCCTCCCCCTCCTCCTCCTCCTCTTCGACCCGGCACGAGGGCGTCGGAGCCCGAAGGACCACCAGCTCCTGCGAGCGCGACCCTCGGGAACCGGCGCGGGGGCTCCGCGCGCCACGCCGCCAGGGCCCCCTCTGCACGGGGAGCGCTCCGTATTCTCCTGTTTTCGCGCCTCCATCCTGGAAGCCTGAGCCCTCGATCCTCGCAGGGGCGAGGCAGAAGAGCGGGCGGCAAGGAGAGTCATGGGGGAGGGAAGCGTGCGGAATGAAGGCTGCAAGAAGGAACTGTAGGACAGGGAACGGGCAGACATTCGGCGGCAACTCCTGGGAGCCTCCCATACCATCTCGTCGGCTGCTGCGAATCGACGCCAAATGGACGCTGAAATCGGCGCTAGATCGACGCCAAACCGACGCTACTCGAAGGTACATCGACGTCAGCCGACGCTAAATCGGCGCTGCCTCATCCACTCCCTGACGCTCATCGATACGAATCGAGGCCAAAGACGGAATTAAGAGGGTGTGACAGGCCCCCATGATTTGCGACCGAATAACTCTATGAACACGGACAGCTGCGTTCGCTCGAGACTGCCTGGATCGCAAAGTGTGCGCGCACCAAGAAGCGCGCCTGGACCAAGCCACTCGGCAAAGCAACTCTAAACAAGGGCCCACAGCTATATAAGTAGGCACCGTGCAGCCAGGAAAGCTCTGCCAAACGAAGGGGGCAGAGGAGGACTGGAAGACTCGCGGAGGGAAAGGTGGAGCCACTCGTCTCACTGGCGCCCGAAGTAGCAGCGTCGGCAACGACATTGGCCGAGTCCACCGAGCTGCTTTCGGATTCAAAAACTCTTGACACGAAGTATGCTCGGCAGAGTGACGGCTGAGGCCGACTGGCCTGACGGCAGGCACTAACGAGGGTCTCCCTCCTCGAATCGCAGCGGCGCCCGCAACAGTGCCGCATTAAATAGGACGCCAGAACTATGCCGAACCCTCACACGGGGTCTCCCGCGGATCCTGCTGGGCTCACGGGCAGTCCTTCCGCGCTAGGGACTGATCCACACCTGAAGGGACGCGTCCACGAGGACCTCGAATAGGCTTAGACGTATGCACTTATTGGAGGCCAGTCCACAAGAGACCTCCCACGGGAAACCCAACCCTGAGACCCCAGGACGTCCATCGATGTTTGGTGTGGGGGCGTCGCGCTCTCCACGGCAAAACACACGGCACCCTGCAGGCGAGCAGGGTGTTTCTTGGCATGGGCCTCCACTGTCTGCACACAGGCAGACTCGACGACGCAAGCGCTGTCTGCGGGGGCGAGCCCGGGGAACACGAGAGTTTGGAGCCCCACGGGGGCCCCAAGTTGTTTAAAAGGAAAAGGAATGGAGGAGGAGGAAGAAGAGGAGGAGGAGCATGAGGAGGAGGAGGACTTGCTTTTTGGCATAGGCCTCCACTGTCTGCACACAGGCAGACTCGACGACGCAAGCGTTGTCTGCGGGGGCGAGCCCGGGGAACACGAGAGTTTGGGGCCCCACGGGGGCCCCGGAGGGGCCCCAGATCTGGCCAAACCCGACGAGTTTTGCTATTTTCCCTTCGTTGAGTTTGTAATAATCATGATATTTCTAGTTTTAATAATAATAATAATAAGAAGAAGAAGAAGAAGACGACTAATACTAATACTAATAATAATAACCATACTAATAATAATAGTGTTATTCATAATATTAATACGATTACTTTACATAGTATCTGATTTATTATTCATATGGCTAGTATCACTGGTATTATTTTGTTACAAGTAATGTCATCACCATTAACAGTATCATGCTAATGATCATGAGTACCATTAAAATATACAGTACTAGTATCACGATGATTATCAGTATTACGCTGTAATTGTCAATACCACTAACAAAAATCTACCTAAATATAATAATAATAATATAATGATAATAATAATAATAATAATAAATAATAGTAATAATAATAATAATAATAATAATAATAAATGGCTGACCCAATGTCGCCTGAGTTGGCCGAAACATATGCATGTAGCGGTTGCGGATAAGAGTGAGGGGGGGGGCGCGGGGGGGGTCGCGGCAAATCGCGGGCGAGTTGCGGGTGGGTCGTGGTTGGGTCGCCGGTGGGTCGCGGGCGGGTCGCTGATAGATCCCTGGCGGGTCGCGGGTGGGTCGCGGATGGCTCGCAGTTGGGTCGCGGGTGGGTCGCGCGCCGGTCGTGGGTGGGTGCGGGCCGGGTCGCGAATGGGACGACGACGACGACGACGGCGACGCCGACGACGACGACGACGACGACGACGACGACGACAACAACAACAATCATACTAAGACTGTTCGCTCTTACTTGCCCGCGTGTCATTCAAAACGAGCTCCCCACACCCTCGATACCCGCCCTTTCTGTCTTCGATCACATCCCCTTTGGGGGGATTCTTTCTCTTTGCGGGGGGCGGCGGGCTTAGACAGGCGGGCAAACCTGAACGGGCGGACAATCCTTCGTGGGCGTACATGTGCCCGCCATTGGAATTAGTGTGGGCCCTGCAAAAAGAGGAGGGGGAGAACGAGGGAAAGTGGGAGGAAGGGAAGGGGGCGGACGAAGGAAGAGGAGAGAGAGATATTAAAAAGGACAGATAAGAGAGGTAGAGAAAGAGAGAGAGAGAGAGAGAGAAAAAAAACAAAAAAAAAAAAAAAAAAAAAGGGAGAAAGAGAGAGAGAGAGAGAGAGAAAGAGGGAGGGAGGAGGCAGGAGAGGGGAGGGAGAAGGGAGGAGGGAGAGGAGGGAGAGGGGATAGGGCAGAGAGGCATAAGGATGAGGGAAGAGAGGAGGGAGAGAGAAGGGAGGAGAGGAGGAAGGAGGGAGGAGGGACAGGGAGGAGGAGCAGGAAAGGCAAGAGCGTGAACGTTCGAGGAAGTCCTAAGCGAAAGCGCCGTTCCTGAAGGAAATCTCGGGCGGGAGCCCACGACGGGCGGGCGATCCCCTGACGGGCGGGTCGGGCGGGTGGGACATTCAAGCGGGATGCCTGCATATGGCGAGAGCGCGATTACTAAGTAAATTGTAACTGCTTCCTTGGCGCAGCGTATTTCCTGAGCGTCGAAAGCGCGATTTCTGAATAAATTGCATAGAAGTCACAGGCGAGATCTTGATTAGATTGCGAGGAAGTCTTGATCAAACTGCGAGGAATTCTCAAGCGAGAGCGCCGTTCCTGAGTAAATTGTGAAGAAGTCTCAGATGGGAGCGGGGGTCCTGACTAAATTGCGAGGAAGTCACAGGCGGGAGAACCGATCCTGAGTAAATTGTGAGGAAGTCTCAGGAGCGGGGGTACTGAGCAAATTTGCAGGAAGTCTCAGGCGGGAATCGTTGTTGTTGTTGTTGTAGACCCGGGGGCCAGGGGCACAGTTTGAGTATCAAGACTTTCCCTGACAAAAAACAGGGTTCGAGCGTCGAAGGGCACACTTTGATTCAGAAAAATAGTATGCACCGGTGAGGGGGGATCAACAAGAACTATTGTTCAGAAAAAAAGTTCAACAACAACAACAACAACAACAACACCAACAACAACAACAGCAACAGCAACAGCAACAAGCAACAAGCAACCAGCAACCAGCAACAAACAACAAGCAACAAGCAACAAGCAACAAACAGCAAGCAACACACCACAACAAGCAATCAACAACATCCATCAACGCAAGAGTAATCTCAACCGCGGAACCCCACTTCAACCAGGCAACCGGGGACAGCGAATGACTGTTTGGCACCCACAAAATGATTAAAAGATACCCTCCCGCCCCCGTTCCGACCACCGACGGAGAAAAATGCCTGCATCCATCGCTCCACGAGGCCCTTGGGAGCACGCCCCCAGATCGGTGGACCCTGAGATCCGACGTCGTGCCCGAAACCCTAGAGTGGGGGCGCGTGCCGAGGAACCAGCTGGATTTTGCTAGGGTGCCCTGGGTTTCTTGGATTTGGATGGCCTCCCAATCAGATCTTGACGATTTTCGATCGACACATGTGGATTTTCACTGAACAAATCGCGTATTTCAGGGTTTGGTTTCTTGCGGAGTTTTCTTGTGGCCGAGCCCCCACTGTAGACCCCACCTTTCCGCTTTTCGAGCCGGATCGATCTGTGAGGGCCCCGGGGCCCGAGCAAACGCGAAAGCGCCCGTCGTGAAAAGACTGCAACGCCGGGATCTCGGAGGATCCGGACGAGTCCCCAGCGCGGCCTCCTCGCAGTCGTTCGCCACCCGCTCCAGCGCTGCGGCCAGGCGGGCCGCCACCTCCATGGCCAGAGACCCCTGCACGCGGGCCTGGCCATGGGCGGAGCGATGCGCCCCCGCACGCGGGCCTGGCACGGCCAGAGGGCCCCGCGCGGGGCCCTGGGCCTGGCCCGGGCCCTCCTCGCAGTCGTCCGCGACTCGCTGCAGCGCCGCCGCCAGGCGGCCCGAGACCTCCGTCCACACGGCCGAGGGCCCCTGCTCGGCGGGCGAGGGGGGGGAAGCGAGGAGGCCCTCCTCCTCCTCCTCCTCCTCCTCCTCCTCCTCCTCCTCCTCCTCCTCCCAGACGGCGGGGCGTCTCAGGAGCCCTCCGGCGTGCTGAGAAGTTGTCTGCGTCTTCGGAAAGAAGCTTTCAGGAAACCTCTCAGAAGGCCGAGGAGGGACCCTCCGAGCTTTCTGAGCAGGCCCGCCCCTTCTCACTTCCCCCTTGGGCTCGCCGCCGACCTGCACGTCGGCCCGGCCGTGGGCGGAGCGAGGCGCCGCGCAGGGCGGGGCCGCGTGACGGTGGTCACGCCCCTGCTCCTCGGCAGCCCCCGGGGCGGCGACGGGGACGACGACCACGGCGGCGCCGTCGGCGGCGGAAGCAAGCGCGACGACGGCGACGACGGCGACGGCACGGACGGCGCCGGAGGCGACGGCGACGGAGGCGACGGCGACGGCGACGGCGGCGACGAGCGCAGCGGCCGCGCCCCGCGATCCAGGCGGGGTCTCCAGGCCCAGATCGGGGCCCCGAATGTCACATGCTTTTTTTTTTGTTCGCTGGTGCTGTTGCACCCCGCTGGTCCTGCTAAGCCCTTGATATCCTCATGTGGGGAGCTCCAGCACCATAACTTTCTTCCTCGAAGGGGTGTCCGCGATTCGGGGCCCAGACCTGCAGCGTCTCGGAAGGTTCGAGGTGTGCTTTTTGGTGTGTGTGTGTGTGCGTGTGTGTGTGTGTGTGTGTTTTGTTGCTGTGCCGCTTAGCTTCGACCGGAAGATGTGCGCTCTCGACCCGCGAATCAAAGAACGTGTTTTGTTGTTGTTGTTGTTGATGTTGTTGTTGTTGTTGGTGTTGTTGTTGCTGTTGTTGTTGTTGTTGTTAGTGTTGTTGTTGCTGTTGTTGTTGTTGTTTGTTGGTGTTTGTTGATTGTTGTTTGTTGTTTGTTGTTTGTTGTTGGTTGCTGGTTGTTGGTTGTTTAGTGTTGGTTGTTGGTTGTTTAGTGTTGGTTGGTGTTATTAGTGTTGTCGTTGTCGTTGTGTTTGTTGTCGTTGTTGTTGTTATTATTAGTGTTGTTGTTGTTGTCGTTTGTTGTTCGTTATTGGTCGTTCGTTGTTTGTTGTTTATTGATTGTTGCTGTTTCTTCTGATTTTGACGTTGGTTGTTGGTTGTTATTGTTGGTGTTGTTGTTATTGTTGTTGTTGTTTATGTTGTCGTTGTTGTCGTTGTTGTCGTTGTTGTTGTTATTGTTGTTGTTGGTTGGTGGTTGTTGGTTGTTGGTTGTTGGTTGCTGGTTGTTGGTTGCTGGTTGTTGCTTGTTCTTTGTTGTTTCTTCCGATCTTGACATCTGGAGGCCGCCCGTCGGCCCCGGGGGCAGTCAAAGCGACCGGCCCGGGGCGAGCAGCCGGCCCCAGGGGAGGGGGGTCGGGGGGTCCCGGGCCACGTGCCCGGGCAGAGCAGAGGAGCTGGACATTTAGGGAGGTTCGGGGGCCCACCACACGGGTGGTCCTCCTCCTCCTCCTCCTCCTCCTCCTCCTCGTCCTCCTCCTCCTCCTCCTCCTCCTCCTCCTCCTCCTCCTCTCCCGTGGCCCCCTCCCCGCCCCCCCTTTCGGAGGTTGATCGGGGCCCACCACACGGGGTGGTGACCACACCGTGCGGTGCGTCGGTGGGGATTCGGGGTCGCCGCACGGTTTTGGGACTCGGGTCGTTCTCCGAGGACGTCTCGGGCGACTGGGGCCTCCGAGGTCCCAAGACCGTGCGGTGACGGACCGTGCGGTGAGGTCTTGGGGGATTTCGAGGTCACCGCACGGTCTGTCACCGCACCGTTTCGGGACTCCAAATGGGGTGAGGGGGATGACGTGGAGCATCGAGCGCGTTCCACTACTTTCCAACTGCCTACTCGCAAAAGTCCGAAGAGCACAAGTCTGCTTCGATGTGATTCATCGCGCATCCCCCGCGGCGGATCCAGCCCATTTGCGAGTAGTTACTTTGCGAGTAGTGGAACGCGCTTGTCCAGTAGAGGCAGTCACACAGCAATCGTGAGGCGTCCTTGAACAATGTGGCGACACCGCTCGGAGTCTCTTCGGAGCCAGCGCTGGAACGCTGATAGGGTCTCGTTTCGACGTCGATTCGGTGCCGATGCAGCCCGATCCGAAGCACATTCCGATCCGATCCGACGTGCCGATTCGATGCTGTTTGATCGTGGGTTCTTGACTCCACGAGGAAGCGAGGCCAGCCGCGCGGGCGCGATAGCAAGCGGCGCTGCGCACTCCGCGTTGCTTGGACCAGACTGTCGCCCGATCGGCAGAACGGTCTGCGCCCGGGGACGGACTCCTCTGCGCCGAACAGGCCGGGGCCCCCTGGACCCCCCTCTGCGCCGCGAGCACAGACGCGACGGGAGGTCTGGTTCGGCACCCTTCGGCCTCCCAGGGGGCCCTCGCCGGGCCCGGGGCCTGGCAGCAGACTGCTCGGGAGGGAGGAGCGGAGCCCCGGGGAGGGCTCCAGGCCTTCCGGGGCCTCCACGCCGAGACCAAGACCGCGACGCCGGGGGCCCCGGTCTCCCCGCAGGGTGTCGCGAAGGCATGCGCGCTAATTCGCGCTCGGAGGCCGCCGCGGGAGCGCGGAGGCGGCCGCGCCGCGCGCGTGCGCCGAGCGCGAGGCTGGGTCACCGAGGGCTCTGCAGGCCCAGAGACCGAGGGCTCTGCCGGCCCAGATCGGGGCCCGGACCCTGCGCGGGCCCGCTCGGATACCCTGCGCGCTCTGGCGGGGCCTCCAGAGAGAGGCGGGAGGGGCACGAAGCCTTGCGAATAGTATACGGTTTTCAAA